AGAGCACATGCCATAACATTTCAGTCTAAGGTCTTACATGGTTTAAATCCATCTACACTTGTAATCCTCAGAGAAATACCCAGAACCCAAAACAGTGAAATCATGAGCACAGAGGTTGAGGACAGGGAATTATTGAAGAGGTCTCAATTTACCCTAAACCATGTGTTCTGTGTACTTTTCATGCTCCTCCTTTGCCCTCTCACTCCCCCCTTTTTGGGTAATCACTAAACCCGTTATGCTTTCCTGTCTTAAGTTCCCAAACGTTTATTTTTCTTCGTGACAATAAGATCTCCATTTTCCTTCCTGGGTCTGCAGTGGACAGAGATGGATCATGACATGTGATATTACAAGAAATGAGGCTGTTTAAAAAGAATACCATTCTCCTGCTCCGGCTTGGTGCTGCAGGTGCTATTTCATGGCTTCTTTTAGTATCGCACTTGGCGTTGACCGCGGCCGCTGGCCACTGAATGGCAAAGACGTGCTTCCTGGTGGCTAATGAGGTGCTGAACCCAGCCTCTTGTTTGTATCAGGAGCACCTGGGCTGACCAGAGCCAGACCAGGCCAGACAAAGCAGTCAGTCTAACATTTCTACAAAAGGTCTGCCCATTCAAAACATCCAGAACCCAGGGACACAAACTCCCACACTTCATAAAATGAAGGCAAGACAGAATGCGAGCCGAGGCTGCCCATTCTCTCTGCACAAGGAAACTATTGTTTGTCTTTACACTCCCTCTCTCCAAGGCTTTGCGATTTTATACTCCATAAAGAAACAAGGCGAAAGGAAAGCAGCTTGGCAAAGACGCAGCGTGCACACTGTTTGTCTCTTGGAAATGTAACAGAGACAAAAGCTGCAACTGTCTCTGCTGATTTCCATTTATGTTTTCTCTACACCCTGGTAATTTACTGTTAGCTCTTTCTGGCCAATAGAAAGAAGCTCACCTGGAGGCTTGAAACCCGCAGACACAGACAGCAGGGAGTTGATTTTTGGTTTCTTCCACAGCAAAACAGCTTCACAAAACCAACAGCACAGTGTTACTTCTAAATCTTTGGAATGAAGACATTACGTTAAACACAAAATGACATATATGGACACCTGCAGCCTATTAAGGAGTGTTTGGAAGATGGATCAGTTGGACCTTTTTCTTGTCTCTTTTCTTTAGGCTGTTTTTCTATTGCTTTCTACCCAGACCTTTGTCTGCCCTCCACAGCTGTTGCAACTGTCGCTGGGACCTGTGTCCCCAAAAAAAACATCAACCAACCTTTTAAACGTCTAGTGTGTAGGATTTAGTGGCAGCTAGCAATGAGGTTGCAGATTGCAGCCAAGTGAAACTTCTCCTCTGTGTCAAGCCAGTAGGAGAGCTATGGTGGCCAATGCAAAAACACAAATGGCCCTATCTAGAGCCAGTGTTTGAACTGTCTATTTTGGGCTACTGTAGAACAATATGGCGTACTCCTTTGAAGAGGACCTGCTCAGTATGTAAATACAAATGTCTCATTCTAAGGTGTAGGGTTGGGTACCGAAACTTGCTACTTTTTGTACTTGGTACCGATTCACGTCGGTACTACCGAGTACCGATTCACTTAAAATGAATCGGTGCCAAATTTCTGTACCTGAGGTGGAGGCTGAGCGTGAGCTCATGACTTGCACCTCAGACTTAGCAACAATGGCGACAAAAATAATGTGCAGACAAAAGTTAACGTGCAGCACTGTTCCTAAATGTTCTCAATAAAATGTTGAAACTGAGAAGTTTAGACTATGGGCCTTAACTACGCATAGTGTATCCAAATTCACACCCGTTCTTCTCTGTGGATTTTCTCCGCGACCGTGCGTCATAGCGAGAAGCCACGCATATCACGTGAAACAGCAGAACTGTAGCTTTCCGACAAGGCCAAGCACCTGTCGGTAATCCAATGGTTTCACAGCGAAAAAAAATGATAAATTTACAATAAAATGATGTATAACAGAGCTTTCATACAGCTTTGCACACATATTACTGTTGGATGGATTACTCGCGAACGCAGGCTCACACAGAAATGCCACGCATATCACATGAAAGCGCAGGACCACACACATCATTGTGCTGTCATCCCATCACGCCATAAATCCAGATCAATTGTCTACAAAATAAAAACCTGACGAATTTCTTTACAATCCATTATACAGATCTTGTTATCAGTCACTTCATATAGTGAGGAATATCGTATCTTACCACGTCTTAGGCTTGCGTGTGTTTCTCCCTGTCTATCCACATTTGTAGTCCGGCTTTCAAGATGCAAATATCTCCATATTGTCCAGTTGACACTCCATCAAACTTTGTATGACAAGACCAGCCACTTCACCTTTGCGCACCCAGACAACTGCAACCTAATTATGCATGCTGACAGGGCCGTAGTCACCATATACATTGAGGGGGACACGTGCCCCCCCCATCAATGCCCAAAATGTCCCCCCCAATATATAACTGAAACTGAAAAACAAATATTATCTTGGAGGACATCATTGCACTTGGTTGACTATTTTTCTATGATCTTAGATGTAAATATTGCATGTTTCTTTCAGATAAAACACATTTTTGACTTGTGAATGAGTCAGTGGAATTTCTTGATATAAAATACAGGCACATAGAAGGACATGAAATGATGGCAAATCTGGTTAGCCCAGATTGTCCTGAAAAAAACAAGATATAGCATGTGTATGTAGCCTTTATAATGACTGTGATATGAGCTTAAAAGTAAAGGCAGTAGAAATACCCCAAAAAGGCCTAGGGCCCATAGGTTTAAAAAGTACCGAAATAAGGTACCGTTTGGTACTGGTACCAAATTCCAGATACCGGTACCGGTACCGTATCGGTTCAATTATGAACAGTACCCCAACCCTACTAAGGTGATGAAAACACAGTGATTTTTTTTTTCAGGTGATTAGAAACAAATGAAAACATAGTTATATTTGTTAGATTTTCTCCCAGGTTTAAGTTAAAGATTGCACACAGGTGTTCCTTGGTATGGTCACAATAAAGGCCACTTTAAAATGTGCGGTTTGATCACACAATACAATGCCACAGATGTTGTGAGTTTTGAGGGAGTGTGTCATTGGTATGCTGATTGCAGAAATGACCACCAGAGCTGTTTCCCATGAACTTAATGTTCATATCACTACCATGAGACGTCTCCAATGTCGTGTCTCTGACCTTGGCAGTACATCCAACCAGCCTCACAACCGCACAAGTTGTTTACAATGATGAACTGCTGTCAGGTCAAGATCCTGGTGAGGATGATGAGCATGCAGACGAGCTTTCCTGATATTGTTTCTGATGTTTTTCCGTGGTTGTGCAAACCAGCTGTTGCATCAGCTGTTCAGGTGACTGGCCTCAGACGATCTTGCATGTGAAGACGCTGGATGTTGAGGTCCTGAGCTGGTGTGACCACATGTGGTCTGTGGTTGTGAGGCTGGTTGGATGTACTGCCAAATTAACGAAAACAACATTGTAGATGGGTTATGGTAGTGACATGAACATTCAGTTAACGGGAAACAGCTCTGCTGGACATTCCTGCGGTCAGTGTACCAATGACACGTTCCTTCAAAACATTTGTGGCATTGTGTTGTGTGACAAACTGCACATTTTAGAGGGGCTATTTATTGTGACCATCCCAAGGAACATCTGTGTAGCAATGATGATGTTTAATCAGCATCTTGATGTCTTTCAAGGTATGGATGATCTTGAAAAATGAGAGGTGCTCACTTACATGCATTTTAATAAATTTGCTCCTCAAATTTGAGAGAAATATATCTATTGCGTGCATGAAAAAGTCTTCAACTTGAACCTGTGAAAAATGGGAGCAAAAACAAAAGTTTTTTTTCAGTCTGGCTAAGATCAGAAATAAAAACAAGCATTTATTGCAGGTCTGTTATGGGACACAAACTTCGGTGTCCCTCATAAAAGTCAGATGCAGTACACCCCAATCCCTTCCATGCTCTTGTTTCCAGATCTCTGTATAAAGTGAAACCTTACATTCTGCATTGGCACTTGACAGAATCTTGCAGAATCTTTCTGTACGAATGTAATCCCTAGGATATTGTATTTGCATCATGTTTCACCAATGTTTGTCTGTCTGTCAGCGAGGAAAATAGTGATAATTACATTTTACGGGAACCCCGGGCGTTGTCTTCAGATTTCATTTTGTGTAACAAACTGTCCAATATCCAGAGATATTCAGTTTTCAACTATATGAAATCGAGAGAAGCAGCAAATCCTCATATTTGAGTAGCTGAACCCAGAGAAACTTTGGTGTTTTTGCTGTAAGAATGATTTGATTGATGGACTGATCTTCTCAGCTCTAATGTCAGCAGCCTGTTGCAAAAAAACAAACAGAACATTTAAACTGATTACTATTGAATTTGGTGGACAGACAATAGATCTTGGTGAGAATTTGGAACTGTGATTCTTATTGCCATTCTGTATACAGTGTTAAATAGACTGCACTTCTAAAGCTTTTCTACCTTAAAGGTCCAGTGTTTAGGATTTAGGGGCATCTACTGGCAGAAATGATATTCATAACTTGTGTTTTCATTGGTTTTTAATCTCTTAAAATAAGAATAGTTGTGTTTTCGTTGCCCTAGAATCAGCCATTTATATCTAGTCATGGAGAAGGTCCTCTTCTAAGGAGTCCACCATGTTGTTTCTACAGTAGCCCAGAACAGACAAATCAAACACTAGCTCTGGAAAGGGCCATTCACAATTTCACATTTTCACATTTCACCTTAGTTCTTCTACACACATGCCACATGCAAGAAGTTTCACTTCTGCAACCTTACTGCTTGATGCTGCTTAATCCTACACACTAGACCCTTAATGGACAAAACCCTGGAAAAATTGCATTTGCCAAAGCCACCCCTATGAATGAAAATAGAAATTTCCAAATCTAAAGATTATGCTTCTAAAGTCAAGAAATCATTATAACACAGAGGTGACACTTGTCTGTCTCTTTATCTTCTGTTCCAGATGCAGGGAACCAGCTGGTAGCTCAAGAGGCAGTGAGGAAACCATCCACACTACGCCGGCCACCTGCACGCACAGGAGAGCCAACCTCTAGTAAGACTTTCTGCTTTGACTGTACAGCACAATAGCAAAGGAATACTACATGTGTAAGGGTCTTTTTTTATGTTTGTGTTTTAGATTGTCTCAACTGCAGTCGAATCACAGCGCTGACCGACAGGCTGAGCTCGCTGGAGGCAAAGGTTTGGACTTCACTCATTCAGTCGCTGTGTCTGAATCACTGAAGAATACAATGCATTAAACAAGCATATAGTTTAATTGCTCACGCTTGTTTAATGTCTTCCTGCACCAGGTCCAATTACTCAATGCTCCAGCCTCCATATCACATCGCCACCTTCAGGGTAAAGGAGGAACTGCACCAGAGGCCTCATTACTGATGGGGGCTGTGCCCGCTCAAGGAGCTCCTGGTGAGCAGGGACCTGCAGGTAGGTACACTATATCACGCTGTCATGCATGAATGAGTCTTAAGTTAAAAAATGCGACATATTTCTCCTAAGTGGAGTCTGGGGTTTTGTGTTTTGATAATTGAGTCAGAAATCACTCTCTGTAGCTTTTCTCAGTGAGCAGCAACTCTTATTCTGCCCTCTACCTGCTCACCTCTGCTCATATCCAATTTCCTTCACTGCACACACACTCATTTCCTTTAGCAAAAGTTAGAGCCCAGTTGTCTGCGCTGCTCACTTTCAGTGCTCTGTGGCTGTGTGGAAACACTTCAGAAAGTCTCTCTCTCCTCTCCTGGAATCAAGCCTAGCACTGTGAGAGTTCACTAACCCCACTGCACTGTCAGAAGGTCTTTAAAAAATTTTAGCAGTTATATAAAGATGTGTTTAGCCAAAGGTTGTATCCAGTTATCATCACTATGTCAAAGAATTTTATGTGATAATAGAATCTTGCAAAGACTCTGATGGCAGAAGTTTTCATTTGTAGAAAAATTAGACAATCTCGGTGAAAAAGGGTGATGTAAAATGTCGCCCTCATTCACTCATTCTTTTCTCTATCGTATAGGCACTCAGTACTTTAAGAGTTTGTCGCAAACTGGTGCCTACATTACCCACAATGCAACTCGACCACTGACAGTTCGGTCAGAGTTTTGTAAAAATGTGTGTGTTTTGCTGATAGCCTCAGGCAGAAATGAACAGCAGACTGCAGAGCTCTGTTTATATATCTTCTTTCAAACCCAACACCTTAAGATTTTTTTAACTTTCAAACTTGTCCAACCAACGCTGACTCAAGCGCAATCACTTGAGGCATTTTTATCAGACTTCACACAGCTACCTCTGGAGACACAAAGGTCTCAAGGGCCCTTACACATGCTGTGTATGTACATGCTGTGCTTATTTTGTGCCCTGAAATCCATTGTCATAAATGTAGACACACAGAAGGCACGCTTTAAAGCGATGGCAACACCTTCATGGCACGCAAGCCTTCCCAAGCGTCTGTTATTTAGGGCACGATGGCTGCGTCCTGAGATAAACAAAGTTCAGCTTTTGGAATGCAGTGACACACTTTCCACATGTCACGTGATAAGGAGCAACCTATTACAGCCGGCAGATATCTCTCCTTTCTTTCGGAAATATCATTTCATGAGGTGAAGTTAAATTTTAGTGTCCAGAGCTTTATGATGTGTCCCATGCACAACATCTTAATACACACTTAAAAAACAACACCTGAAGAACATCACCTCTGAACTCGGGATATCTGGTAAGTAGGCTGTGATACGGTGCTGGTTATGGTTGCTTAGCACCTTCAGACGCAGTCTGTCTCCACGCTCTTGAAAGTTGGCACAGAGTAGGCACAAGTGTGGCACCCAGCACCCAACCTCGCTTTTTCCAGGCAGTTTACGATGTGGCCATGTGTCCCGGCCCTTATACAGCTGTTTTTTCACTTATGCTACTATTCTATTCAACCAGACATCATTTTCAGAAATCCACGCAGTCAAAATTAATGAATGGCTCCTTTAAAAACTACAAAAAAGTTTATTTAGTTAATTAAGATATTTAGTATTTTGGAACTGAAATTCAGTCCTAACGATAACATAAGCACAGTAATGACGAATCTTTCCGCTCCAGGACGGAATTTAGAGTTTCACCTCATCATCACTGGGTTTTATACCACCTCTTCTCCAGGTGGTGTGAACCTAGATTTTTTCACAGAGCTACACCTCTCAATTAAGCCATCTCTCTGTTTACATTACAGGTCCTCAGGGTGAAAAGGGGAGAGATGGGCTTCCTGGCAGAGAAGGTAAATTGTAACCACAGTTGCCTCTCAGTCAGTCCATGTAAAACCATTTAAGATGTAACCCAGTTAAGGCTCCGTGATTACTCATGACTGTTTCCTCCTCTTAGGAAAGCCAGGGTCTCGAGGGCTGCCAGGTCCTGCTGGGCCTCGGGGGGAGTCTGGGTCGAGGGGCCCATCTGGAACTCCTGGATCCAAGGGATCTGCAGGACCTGCAGGTAAGAGAAAACTGAAAGTAGAAATACACACAGCTTGATGTTAGCACACAGTTGTGAGCTGAGAGAAACAAATGAGCCTTGTCTCTGCAGATGTTGACACAGTTTGTCAATAAGCATGTTGTAAAGATGTTTGTGTGTCAGTGAGAGAGACGGAGGGTGTTGCAGGGCAGTTGTATACTAGCCTCTCCACTTAACCTATTGTCTGTGGAAGGAGACATTTGAATGGCTCAGTGTTGACCCAAAGACTTGTAGAAACAAAAGTGGAAAAATCAGAGAGATCTCCAACAAAAGTCTGACTAGTGATGTCCCGCTGCAGCGTGTTTGTCTTTCTCTTAAACCGCTTGGTCAACCCACAGACCCTCCAGCGGTGAATGTGGAGCGTTCCAGTGGCCAGTTGGTAACTTTCTGGAATTTGGGCATTTTGTTGGCTTGTAAAATCATATGTTTCTAAAAAGTGCTGTTTCAGTGAGCAGCAAAAACATTTGTTTTCAGACTACTTGTAATCTCCCCGACATGTGCTGCTGTTCACCAACCAGTGTCAAATCATAAATCTGCTCATTGTATTCAGAGCTCACTGGTTATATATATATATATATATATATATA